GGTCATGTATTAGTGCTTCCTTGCCAGTTTTTAGGTAAAGATCTGATTATAAGATATAGTATTACACTTATATATGGTGCCTGTGGGGGCACCTTGCTGTAATTGGGTTTGGTTGATACTTCCAGGAGACCTCTCCATGTATTTCCTGGACTATAGCCTAAACCTGTTGAGAGAAGCAGATGGTGGGGGTTGAAAAGCTCAGTCTAGGCTGCTTTTGTTGGCTTTTGGGGTTTGTTTTACCCAGGTAGTCTGTTGGGAAGGGGGTCCAGGGCTCCTTTTGCAGCTTCAGTCTCGTGTACCAGTGATGGTTCCTTGGTCTTTGACCCTTGACCCAACTCAGCTGCTCACGGTTTTTAAATTGTTGTTTAGCACAGTGGTTATATTCAGGAAATGCCCAAAATCACAGAATCATGGAATATCTTGAGCTGGAAGGATCATTGATCCAACACAGACACCCCAACAATCCCACCGTGTGCATCCCTGAGAGCTTTGTCCAAACACTCCTGGAGCTTTGGCACGATTGAGCCTGTGATCATTCCCTGGGGAGCCTGGGCAGTGCCCAGCATCCTCTGGGGGAAGCCCTTTTCCTTTTTTTTTTATTAATTTCTTCTATGTAAATGCTGCAAAAAACATTTTAAAATTAGTTTATTTAAATAAAAAATGTGAGGAGCAAACCAGAAGACCAGTATCTGGCCATCTGTTCGAACAGAGAATTTTTGAACGTGTTTCCCTGAAGAGGAGCCAGGTTCTTGGCACTGAGGGGGAAAAAAAAAGGAGAGAACGTGCATGTGTGAGACAACTGACTGCTGTTGTCAAAATGCACATGTCACTGGGAATATAAAATAAAGGCTTTTAGAGCTGCCTCAGTCCTCCCTTCTGTCTTGCTCTGCCACAGTAGACGTTCAGCTGCTGCCTGCGCTTGTCGTGCGGCCAGCCCCCCGAATTTATCCTTCTCATGTGGCTAAATAACTTCATCCCCGTGGCAATTTGCTAGAATAAAGAGCCTGGTGAGCACAGCGGAGCCTGGGGATGCAGCAGCAAAATCAGTGGCTGCTCCAGTGAGCAATTACGCGCTGGAACGGCGAGAGGAGGGGGTGGCCAGGCTGTCAGAGCCTGGATTAAAGCCTTCATCCCCGGAATTCCCCATGTAATACCCTGCTTTTGTAACAGAGAGCACCTCTGACTACAAATGTGTGCAGTGTTTAAATTTATTACTAATTTTTGCTGTTTAATTTCTGCGCCGCCGCCGATTCCGCGCACTCGCCTGCCGAGGGTCGTGCGTGGCAACGAGTCAGGAAGCTGTGGCTGATCCCCCCTTTTCCAATTTGTGCTGGGTCTTCAGCCAGGGCTGTAAATTGCTGATGCACAGAATTTATTTAGCTTTGTGTTGATCAAAGCTGCGTGTTCATGTGGGGCATTTTACAGCAGGAGTGTGGCCAGGTGCACCTGGGAGAGGCGGGGTGGTTGGTGGCTGCTTACGAGTTTGGGCACAGGGAGCAGTATTTGTAAAAATTCTGTGCTCATCTGACAGTGAGCCTGTGTGAATGGGTACTGTTCTAGCCCTGGAAAACTGGGAATAGCTGCCTTGAAGTGCCTGTGGTGCCCCATCCTTTGGCCACTAGCTGTCCCCTCCCCGTGGCCTCCCCTGGCAGGTACATCTGGGAGCTGAGGCGCTCCCTCATTAAAAAGCTGCGTGTGTCCTAATCCTGATGGGAGCAGAGCAAAGGCAGCCACCTCCCCTGGGAGTGGTGCTGTGGGTTTTGAGCTCGTTCTTTTTATTATGAAGGTCATTTCTTTGTTCTCAGTGCCGTTGGTTTAGACCGCAATTCCTGGCTCTGTCATATACGACTATTTAGGAAAATAGGGGATATTTTGTAGCCCTGGAAGTGTTTGGCTTCCTCATGGGTTGCTGTAGTCCAATATTTGCACTGGCTGATCTCTGTAATTCCTCTTTGTCGTGGTGCTTTACAAACTCCTAGATATATTTTTTAAAAAATAATGAATGTGGTGCTGTCCAAGCTGAACCACCCCAAAATCACTGCTCTTGCCCAAACTGCTCATGGGTCTCATCAAACCAGAGGCAGAAGCAGTTTATTGTTTGCCTTAATCCTACAACCACAGATACCTGCAGGGTACAGCCTTTCTCTTTACATTTTTCACTGTTTATGCTTTTGTTTGTGTAAATTCTTGATATTGAGGTAGGTTTTCTTAATCTCTGCCCTGTGCAGCGCCTAATTTTTTGCTGAGCTCATGATAAGGGCTCCTTAATGGTGTAGAAGCACAAGTTATTAGGGATGAGTCCTGCTGTGAGCTGAGATTTGCATAAAATAATTCTTACTCGAGGGATGAGCGTGAATTTGCTGTTCCGTTTCTGAGCCTTCAGATTTGTTTTGAAATATTTAGTACAGCTTGGAAATGCAGGGCATTCTTTGAAACAGTTTGTTTGGAGGGGTATTAAATTCAGACTGTCATGAAATACTTAAATCCAAACAAAAATCAAGGATTGTGAGGATGTGCCTATTCCAGCTAACGAGCACATCCTGCTTTTGAGGGTGAAGAAGGCACTTGAGCAGATTTGAGCTGACTGCGGCTGTTGGCTGCGGCAGGGTGACAGCCCTGGGTGAAGTGGGACAGCGTGTCAGGATCCGAATTTAATACTGGAAATATCAATAATTGCACTGAGCTCCACGCCCAGTGTTTTAGGGGAAGGCAAGGAGCAGGTCCCCAAGGTGATCGTTTAGTGTGGATTCACGTAGGAGAAGAGCTGCTGGCTAACTTGCACTGTATTTATTAAATTTAATACCCTTTTTCCAAGCTGCTCTTAACAGTCAAATCATGAAGAGTAAATCTCGTAGGGCTCACGTTTGTGAGCTGGGTATGTACAGGCAAATATTTTTTTTTAATTTTTCAATTCTCTACTTCAGCTTTTTAATCCACCCTGTCTGTACCTTCTTTGTGCCTCTGTTTGAAGGTACAGTGAGATTGGCAAGGCATCCTGTTGACCATGGGAATAATGAGTTGGCTCCTGAACTCACTTGGTGTGTGGTATTTTGTAATTAGCTGGGGGAACTTGCAGTGTTTTAAAAAGAAAAAGGAAATAGGAAATGGCAATTAGGCAGAACTTTCACTCTCTGATCAGGCATATTCTACTGTATTTCCATTGTTACTTACAGCTTTAAAACCCCTCTCTGGAGGGCTCTGTATTAAGTAATTCATCTTAGTTAACACTTCATTGGGAAGCGCGTGCAATTAATCGACAGCGTACAGAAATAATCGTCTGATTAATAGAAATCCAGTTCCTGAGAGCTGAGACTGTTTCCTTTACAAGTTCTACACTTGTTTGGGATTGTTCTTTCCAGGTTCAGTAATGATATGTCTCTATCTGCCACTTCATCTGCAAGGGCAGGATTGAAATCCACTTTGTGAGCAAGATAATGAAAATCCATACGTGGCTCTTCTGCTCCTTCTGTGCCATTAAACAACCAGAAATGTGATAGTCTTCATTGTTGCATGTTTAGTACTGCTAATAGGATAAGTTAATAAAGAAAAGATTTAAAAAAACCCAAACAAAAAACCCCAGCACAAACCCACAAAACCTCCCGTTCTTACATCTTTTATTAAACACAAAATGTGTTTAAACACGCTTAAATGCTGCACAGAGCTGAGCTGTGGAGTAATCTTGGTTTGAAGGCTGCTGTTGTGGTTGGGCTGGAGGGGAATGGTGGGTCTAAGCCAGAGTGGGGTTCCCCTAAGGCAGGAATTTTTGTGCAGATTTTTGTGTTTTGACGATCAGCATTAGCTGACATGCTTCCTTGGGGAGCTTGTTTGGAGAGCAAGGCAGAGCTGTTGGCTCTCTACCACTGGTTTTCGTGGAATGACACGTTTTGAAGCTGGGAAATAGGGTTCAAATCGGAACTAATTCCAGTTTTTAAAAACAGGACAAAGAGAGGAGTTTGGGGTGTGTTAATGGATGTGTTTTATCTCAGCTTGGTAAGCCCAGCTGCGGGGGTGGGTGATGCTAAGCTGGAGGCCTTGGGGGCTTAGGTGGGGAGATAAGAGTGGGTTTGCTCCAGGAGAGGAGCCTCAATGCCTCTCCAGTGCTTAGGCCAAGCTTGTTAATTTTGGCTCAGGCTCCGTCACACCAGAAGCCCTAAATAGGATTTGTCATTCCTTAGAGAGGCAGCAGAGTGCCCAAAATATGCTTTTAGCCCCAAAAGAAGCAATCCCAACCCTGCCCTGGGGTGGTGGCTGCGTCCCTGTGAGCCAGGGGACAGGAGGTGACAGAGCAGCTGCTGGGCTTGGAGCCTCCTTGGTGGTCCCAGGCACTCCTTGCTCTGCATTCCTGGAAATCCAGGATCAGGAGTAGGATGTGGTTGGAGGTTATGGCAGCACTCTCTTTATCCAGGTGTCCAGAGCAGGTGTGGGATTCATCCCAAGCCAGCAGCACAGGCTTCTCTGCTAGTTTAGCACGTCTCCAGAGGTAGCACCATTGTAGCTTTTTTGTCTAACATGTGTGTGGTACCTTCCCCTAACTGTGGTGTGTGAGTTCAGAGCTCTCATTCCCATAACATCCCACTCTTGTGTGCTCTGAGAACTGGGCTTCCCTTGAGGAAATGCTGGATGCCACAAGAAACTGGTTCTGCTGATGAGACACGGTGTTGTTTGTGCACAACTTTGCCTTTCTTAGAGACTCTTCTCTGGCAATTATTTAAAACAAAGGTGACACATACAGGGTTTTAACTGTATGTATCAACCTAGGGACACCTCATGTGGGTTGTAATGAAATTCCTGGCTTTTTCCCACTATATATAAATATATATATAAAAATAAGGCAAGTACATGCCTTAACTTTAAGTAATTCCCATGTAAGTGCATATAAACTTCAGTAACATTCCAGTTGTTGGTTGATTTGAGAACACCTTTTTTTTCCACAAGCGAAGCCTTTTTCTGGTGTGTGTTTTGTACCTTTGCTGTATGTAATGAGCTGCTTTGTGTGGCAGGTGGGAGATTCAAGAAGGAGATAGTGGTTGATGGACAGAGCTACCTGCTGCTGATCAGAGATGAAGGAGGCCCTCCAGAGGCACAGGTGAGCCCAAAGCCTTGCTTTCCCTGGTTTTCAAAACTTCCTTTCAAAGAACTGGCTCTGCTTTGTTCTGCCTTGGCTTCTTCTCATCTTCCTGCCAGGAGAATTCCAGCATCACCCTCAGGTGAAAAAGATCATGTCCAGCAAATGGTTAGGATTTCAGTTCTGAAGGATGGATGAGTGTGTGTAGCAAATATTTGGGATTCTGACTGAGACTCTGCAAGTCGGGATATACAGCTCATCTCTACTGCATTCCCAAGCACTGCGCTGCCCCTGGTGACACATCAGGATTTCATAGAAGCACAGAATGGTTTTGGTGGGTGGGGACCTTAAAGCTTGTCTCACTCCCACCCCCTGCCATGGGCAGAGACACCTTCCACTATGCCAGGTTGCTCCAAGCCCCCATGGCTTGGAGCAACTGGCTATGGACACTTCCAGGGATCTGGGCACCCTGTGGCAGGGCCTCCCCACCCTCACAGGGAGGAATTCTTTCCTACCATCCCATTCAACCATGCCCTGTGGCGGTGGGAAGCCATTCCCTGTGTCCTGCCCTGCTCCAGGCCCTTGTTCCAAGTCCCTCTGGAAAGGGCTCTGAGGTCTCTCTGGAGCCTTCTCTTCTCCAGCTCTCCCAGCCTGTCCAAGCCACTGACTGTGCAGAAGACACTTGGGGGTTTGTGTGCTTGACCCTTACTCTGTTTTGAGCAAGAGTTTGCTCATGTGCTGCTTAAAACACCTCAGACCCAGCCGTGCTTTTTCCTCCTCCTCTTCCTCCTCTACCTCTCCTCACCTGGGCACTGGCAGGATTTCCTCTGTTGGCTGCTGCTGGCCTTGCTTTGCCCGGCTCTTCCGGGAGGGATCAGCTTCCAAACAAGCAATAATTTAGCATCAGGAGCTGCCAAACAGCTGAGGGGGAGCAGTGCCAGCAGCAGCAGCTTGGCTTTCAATGCAGCACCACAGCTCCAGGAGGGTGAGAGCGTGGGGGAAGGTGCCGGGACAAAGGGGAAGAGAAAGGACGTGGAGGAAATGGAGGCTGAGAAAGACATCCTGGAAGGAAGTCACAGGACAGAATAAAGCTCTGGCACATCTGCAGCCCTGTCAGCAGGAGCAACAAGGAAAGCTCTGTCTGGGGCTGGGAGGGATTTGGCTGAAGCACCCCCTGGTTTCCAGCCTCTGATGCTTAGAGAACGTTCACTCATCTAAGAATGTAAATAGTGGAGGTGTAAAGGTACATGCAGCAATCTGAGGTGGTTTTGTGCCTGGGTTTGCAGAGCTTACAGGAGCTGGCTGCAGACTAATGAACAGCACGGGCTGTGCTCCTGGGATGTGCCAGGTAAATTTGGGGCTTGGACTGCTGTCCAGTGGAAGGTGTCCCTGCCCATGGCAGGGGTTGGTATGAAGTGAGCTTTAAGGTCCCTTCCAACCCAAACCATTCTGGGATTCTGTGGTGGCTGAGATCTGTTCTCCATCCTCATGATTTGCTGAAGAGGTCTGAGGTGTCAGTGCTGTCTCACCTTTCAGCACGAGGCTTTCCTGTAAATTCCCTTTGGAGTTTTTGGATGTAATTTCAAGTTACATGTCTATTAAAAATCTTTGATCTGTTCATTAATAACTGCAATGAAGTTTGCTTGTGTGTTCATGAATAATTGGGATTGAATTCCAGCTGCAGTAAGTAAGGAGCTGACATGTGGAGTTCCTGGTACTGGGTCATGGGTATTCCCCAGGTTACTGTCCCCTTCTTTTTGGCAGGAAGGGAGAAAGAACAAACTTCCCTGAAGACTCTTTCTGTGGGTCTATGATCTCTCCTTTCTTTACCTAAGATAAAATGGTCCAAAGATGAAAAGAATTCAATTTCCTATTGTAAAACCAAATTAACCTAGCGACTGACCTACAATGGGCTGCTGCATGTAACTTTTTAAATTTAAAACTTTTTTTTGCAATTTGGTTTTGGGTTTGCCTTGAACTAACAGCTCTGCTCGCTCTCAGTAATAAGTCTGAGAATGGATTTCTATACCAGCAGCTGATTTGTCCTTGTTTCAAGCCATTTCCTGCACAGTACTCTGGATGAGACATCCAGGGTTTCCAGACCTTGTGTTTCCCAAAATTCCTTTGGTTTTCTGTACCACAGGTCTGATAAGATTAAGCTGCATTTCAATACCAAAAGAGAAACAAGGAATTGCTGGAAATGTTTTGTGTCTGCAGGAACTGCACTGTGTAAATCTGTGGAGTGTTTTAAAATAATCTTTATTAGAAGGCTGCTGTACACACTGCTCAAACATTCAGAGGGTTTAGAGAGACTGTTGGCTTCCAAAGGATGCCTTAAGGACATTGCAGTTGTTGGGAAGAGTCCTTGGCATGATGCTGCTGAGTCCAGTCAACAAAAACCATTTTATAATGAGACCCAAGCCCACATCTCCCAAATAATGGTGCTGTCTCCAGTTCCTGTGGTTGCATCTTCTGGTTTGAACAGTTTAACAGTGTGGTGGTTGACCTTATTCTGGCAGTGACTCTGCTCTGTGTTAACCAGTCCTGTCCTTCCCCTCTGGAAGATTGTCCTCCTGACTGTCTTGAAAACCTCAAAGCAATTTTTTGTCTATTTTTACACCATAACAGCCCAGGCAGTGTTTGTTTTCAATACAATCATCATGAATATGCAGAGCCTTTCCCCATTGAACCTCTGTGTTCAGTGTGTCCCCTGGCACGTTGCAGTAATAATACAACAAAGCATGAAAATCCCCTTGGCTGAAGCTTGTTTCCATTGCTCTAAATTTGGGTAGGAATGGAGTCACTTAGGGAAAAATAAAGGCAGCGAGGTAAGCTGGAGCTTTTTCTTGATGTCCTGTTCACGTTCACTGTTAAGTTAAATGTCTTAATTCACTTGTGAGCTAAAAGCTTCTCACTTGCATGGTCACTGAGGAGCACCTTGGCTTGGCTTGTGCACCTGCATGTCTCTCAGCAGGTTCCTGATGCCAAGAGAGAGCAGTTTGCTCTTCCACTGAAAGCAGAACGAGGCACTTGGTGCTGCTCAACTCAGAGTGTCTGTATGGTGAAGAATTGGAAGTCTCAAATTGATGGGATTAAGATGTGAGAATTCCTAGCAATGCCTGTCCTGGCATCATCAGCAGCATCAGCATGCATGCATGCAAATGGCAGCATGGGGGCCCAGTCAGCACTGCAGATGAGTGCTGCTCATTTCAAATGTGCAGAGCCAGCAGCCTCATCCTGCTGTGTTTTCTGGGAATCAAACCCAGTGTGCACTGACAGTAGTTGGTTACACACCCCAGTGAAGAAGGAGTGCTTGTGCGGGGAAATCCCTTGTGTATCCCAGATCCCCATGGCTTGTAGGGTGATGAGATTCATCATTTTAGCAGATTGTCCTAACCTTGCTTAGGCCTTGGTTGTGTGTGAGTTTTTCTGGTGTGTATTTCCCTCGCAGGAAGGTAAGAACGTTTCTCTCATGGTTTTCCTTCCTTCCCCCTCCTCGCTGCTCTTCTCACAGTTGGCCTTTTCCATTTTTATCCTGCAGTTTGCCATGTGGGTGGATGCTGTTATCTTTGTGTTCAGCTTGGAGGATGAAGTCAGCTTCCAGACTGTTTACCACTACTACAGCCGCATGGCCAACTATCGCAACACTAGTGAAATCCCCATGGTCCTGGTGGGCACCCAGGGTAAGTGCAGCCCTCATTCCCGGCTGGAATGGTCTCAGCTGGGCCATATTGACTCCTCCAGGCTGGCAAAGCCATGTCCTGTCCTTTCCCCTTTGCTACAGGGCTGTGGCATTGCAAGGACAGTATTTGAGGTGAGAGAAAAATGTCCTGGCAGCTCGCTTGGAGAGGGAGTGTAGCACTTCAGCAGTGAAGAAAGAGAGGATGTTTAGTTAGATATGCACAAGAAATTCTTCCCTGTGAGGACGGGGAGACCCTGCAGAGGTTGCCCAGAGCAGCTGTGGCTGCCCCTGGATCCCTGGAAGTGTCCAAGGCCAGGCTGGACAGGGCTTGGAGGAACCTGGTCTGGTGGAAGGTGTCCTTGCGCATGGCAGGGGGTGGGAGTGAGATGAGCTTTAAGGTCCCTTCCAACTCAGACCATTCCAGGATTCTATGACTTGAAAGGAAATTTAAAATCATACTTCCAGTGTGTGCTGGTTGTGGTGGTTTTCTTGCCCAGCAGGGAGATGCCCTTGCTGAATTTGGGCAGGTAAATCAATTGTGTGGGGAAGTTCTGCAGCTAGATCAGTTTACATGTGCTTGGCAGTCTGGAAGGGCTCAACATCCTGGCATTGCAGAGAGGCAGAAGGATGAGAGGTGGGAAACCTCCAGCAGAATGGTAGGAAGCAGAGGTGAACCCTGGCCTCAGGCTGTGCCTCTGGGAGACCTCTGTAAATCAAGTAAAAATGCAGCTTTTTGACACCTGAGCCAACCTCTCCCCCCAGTTTTTCCTTCTGAAAAAGCAGCTGTCCTGAATGAAGTATGTCAAGGGAAAGGTACCCAAAATATTTCTGTTTCTTTGGCATTTGAGTGGTTTTTTGAATATTCTCTGCCTTGTTGTTCCAGCATATCCCCGTAATATTTCACTAGTTTCCCATACTGTGGTTGGTTTGCTGCATTGGTGGAGCTGAGGCTGTTCTGTTCCTGACCATGGAATCATTAAGGTTGGGAAAAAGCCCTTTTAAATCATCAAATCCAGCTGTTCCCTCAGCACTTCCAACACCAGCACAACCATGTCCCCACGTGCCACATCCACACAACTTTTACGTCCTTCCAGGGATGGGGACTCCAGCACTGCCCTGGGCTGCTGTGCCAGGGCTGCACAACCCTTTGGGCACAATTTGAAGCCATTTCTCCTCTGTTCCCTGGGTACAGAGCCCACCTGGCTGTACCCTCCTGGCAGGGAGCTATGCAGAGCCAGGAGAACCCCCCTGAGCCTCCTTTTCTCCAGGCTGAGCCCCATCAGGTTGCTGTTGTGTGTTAGAGGCAGAACACAGGTGTTGTGAATTGTTCTTGGTTCAGTTTTGGGCATCCTCCTTGTTAGGGTGTCCTAGTGGTTTTGGTGGTGTTGGAGCTTTTGGGTGTTTTTTTCAGCCACATGGTCAGGGAGCAGTTGGCCTTCCCCTGCCTTCTGCCCAGGGCTGACAGCACGGAGGGGATGTGTGGGCAGCTGGGAAGGAGGAATCACAGCCCAGCTGGAGGGAGGAAACAGATGATATGAAGGAAAAGGGGAAGGAGGAACAGAAAAAGTCTTAGGACAGCACAAACTCCACCAAAAAACAGAAAGGAGCTTCTTTGAAGGGCCACGTTTTGGGCTTGAAGCTGGAGTTGAAAAAGTGAAGGGGAAGCATTTCTCCAACTTTTTTTTTTTTCTTTGTGCCCTTCCGACCCCCTTCTGGGGTATGGTTTGGGGTATGGTTTTCCATCTCCTTCCTGTTACTTCCAGAAAAAGAAAAGTTCATTTTCTGTTGCAGCATTGATACAAAGGGGATTTTTTGAAAAGATGGAAATAGTGCTAATTCTAGGAATAAGCATCAGGAAAAACCGCAGCTTTTGGTCTGTGTTTGACAGTGAAATAAAAGATATGAAATATATAAATACACTTGTTAAAATACGTATATGAAATCTACCTTTCATGTCATAGAATCCCAGAATGGTTTGGGATGGAGAACACCTTGAAGTACATTTAATTCCAACCCCGTGCCATGGGCATGGGCATCTTCTACTAGCCCTGGTTGCTCCAAGCCCTGTCCAACCTGGACTTCTTGGTTTTTCCTGAGATGAGATGTGAAATGAAATCTCTCCCACAATATTAACACTTGCAGACGTTCTCCCCTGACTTCCAAAGCCAGCTCAGTGCCCCAGCCTGACCCGCCTCAGAACAAGGAGGCAAACTTTGGGGAGCTGCGGTGTTCTGGAACTGAACCCTCTCCGTTCCCTTCTGGGTACATGTTACCAGCGCCCTCTGCTGATAAATAACAGGCTCCTGCTTTTCCTAATTGCTGCCTTATTTTTGTTAATTGGATCTGATGAGAAGGTAATGACAGCATCAGTTGAGGTCTGCTCCTCTCATGCCCGGGGCAGAGCCTCACACACAGCGTTGCAAGAGGCACTCATTCCATGTTTAGGTTCAGGTGATGCTTTTTTCCCAAAGAACAAATCTGTCTTGCTGCTGTGGGCGGTTGCAGATTTTAAGGAAGCTTTCTGGGCAGCTGTAAATGCTGAAATTATCCAGAATGAATCCCAGAATGGTTTGGGCTGAAAGGGACCAGCCAGTGCCACCCTCTGCCATGGGCAGGGACACCTCCCGCTCAGTATCCCAGGTTGTTCCAAGCCCCATCCAACCTGGCCTGGACCATTTCCCGGCATGGGGCAGAAGAGTAACACAATACTCCTGGGAAAAAAAAAAAAACCACTTCCTTTTCAAGATCTCTTAATAAGATTATCACTTCAAATAGTATCACCTTTGTGTACAGAATTCATCACTATGATGGAGTAGCAAGGAAGAAGCTTCTCCTTTTTCTATTCTGGTGTAAGGTTTTTTCAGCTCCTCTGGATAAGCCCTAGAAACTGAAATTTCTGGTTTTCAGCTTTCATGAAAAGAAACTCTTGGAGAGAATTACCAAATATGATGGTTTAGAAAAATACATTTTTTATCAGCTTTGCAGTATGTTCCCACAACATCTCCGGGGTGGGAACCATCTGGGTGCCTTTACAGTATGAGAAAGTAATTTACAATTAAGTTCTATTTCTTTAAAATGCATCATGTTTAATATTTCACACTCTATAGTCACTGATACTCACAGAGATCTAAAAACCATTTGACGTGTTTGTATTAATCACCCACTTGTTTCCCTAAGTATATTTTACATCAGAGCTCATGCTCTTTCATGTGATTGTGTATTTACTTATATTTTTTTTTGGCAACAACTGAGCTCAGTATATGTATTTAAGTTAAACAAAAAGCCTTGGAGGTTTTCCCCCTGGCTTTTAGAATCAGTGTACTGGTAATTTTAATAGGGAAATATAAATTATAGTGGTGTACACTTTCATGGTTTGTATTTAAACTCACTGCTTGATATTGGTCAATATGAGAGGAGCTGGCCTGAAGTTTCACCAGGGGAGGTTCAGGTTGGATATTGGGGAAAATTTGCTCAGGGAAAGGATTGTCAGGCATTGGAACCATCTCTGGAAGTGCTCGAAAACCACGTGGATGTGGCACTTGAGGGCACAGGTTAGTGGTGACCGTGGGTTGATCTCAGAGGTCTTTCCCAACTTCGGCGCCCCTCCTGTGAGTCCGTGAATCCCAAGCTGGTGTTTCCAAGTGACCATTAATGGGTGTTTTCCCCCTGTGGCTCTGCAGATGCCATCAGCTCCACCAACCCCCGTGTCATCGACGATGCCAGAGCCAGGAAGTTGTCCAATGACCTCAAGAGATGCACTTACTACGAGACCTGCGCGACCTACGGGCTCAACGTGGAGAGAGTCTTCCATGACGGTACAGCTGCCTTTTAGCATCCAGCACATCACTCCATCCTCTAGCTGTCCTTTCTGACTAATGACCCGTCTGGGATAGATCAGATATTTGCCTGCTCAGTTAAAGAAAATGCTGATTTTTAGGCACTTTTGTTGTGTTTTTTAAGACGGCTCCTTAACTCAAACACTGATGTGTTCTCCACCAGCGCCTTTAGTCTTCAGCTATTTTTAGTCCTTATTTAATTTTCAGTTTTCTTTGGTGCTTGTTTTATTGTAGCAAAGTTTGCTTTGCTTTGGTTTTAGCACTCCTGGAGAGGCTGAGGGGCTGTTTGTTGCAGAGTAGCTGAAAATGCTACCTTCGAGCACCATAATCTTCATGGGGTGTTAAAAATTGAGAGCTGGGCTGGGTGTTGGGAAGGAATTGTTCCTTGTGAGGGTGCTGAGGCCCTGGCACAGGGTGTCCAGAGCAGCTGTGCTGCCCCTGGATCCCTGGCAGTGCCCAAGGCCAGGTTGGACACTGGGGCTTGGAGCAGCCTGGGACAGTCAGTGGAAGGTGTCCATGCCCATGGCAGGGGTAGGACAGGGTAAGCTTTAAGCTACTTTCCAACCCAAACCATTCTGTGACTCTCCGAGAGTCTTGTGTAGGGGTTTTGATCCTTGTAGGTCCCTCCCAGATCAGGATCTGGAGTTGTATGAGATGGGATCTGTGCCCCCTCTAGTGGAATTTCAGTCGAATGTCCTGGGGCTTGGCTGGTTTCTCTTCTCGCCAGGCTCCTCTCGAGGCTGAGTGTGTCAGCCCCTCATCACAGCAGTTTTCTGTCTCTAAAAACCTTCTTAATTAATTAGGTTTTAATGCTTCTCAGAGCCCCCTAGTTTTTGTTGCCAGCTTCTCGTTGCAAAGTCCTGCTCTGCCTGTGCTTATATGAGGCAGTGTCACATCAGCGCCTTGCAATGGGGTGTGAAAAGACACTTCACATTAGAAAAAAGGGAAAAATATAAAATTTTTACGTGGAATAAAAGGGTGACACATTCTAATGTTTACATTGGAGAAAGAAAAAAATGTTGTAATTTTTACATGGGGAAAAAGAGGCAAAACACTGTACATTTTGCGTGGAAAATACTGACCTGCACCTGTTTTTTTGGTCAGATTTCGGAGAAGAGCATTTGAAGCTGCATCTTCTTGCTTTGCTCCGTGTTTTCTGTTGAACTAGTTGCAAAAATTACTGTTTTGACTGCCTAGATTTTCTATATTGATTAGGAGTTTCAAAGAGCCATTAGGGGGTTTTGTTTAGCACATTTATTTTGGAGTGCTGGCTATAGTTAGATTGTTAATTATATATTCCAAGTCCTGGCGTTCATGGCTCTGTCTGCAGCCTCCCTCTTGGTTTTTTTTCCCCTTTCTCAGAGATTTTGAGAGAAGTCTCTTGGCACAAAGCTAGTGTGATAAACTTGTAAGCTTTCAGGAGGCTCATTTTTCTCTCTTTGGTCGTAAGAAAGAATTGACAGGGATCATGTGTTTTAAGAAATATCAGGGTGTTGTTTTGCCCCCATGGCAGCCAACCAGCTCTTTAATATTTGCCAGCTAATAGGATTAGAAATGCTTCTGTATGAATGGGTTACACTTGCCAGACATGTCTGGGACCAAATCCAATTCCTGATAATTTTTGCTGTTTATTTCAGCAGGAAACAAAGCAACTTCTTAACCCCATTAAATGGGGGGGTGTGAATGAGCAGTGCAAGCTGTTAATAGGGAGCACTTGATTAAATATCCCTTGGTTTGTGCTGCTCTGGGGCGTTCAGGTTCAGCGTAGCTTTAATGGTTTTTTTGTGGCTTCTTCAGAGGGTTTACATTAGTTGGGCAGCCTGGGATAGTGGAAGGTGTCCCTGCCTTGGCAGGGCGTGCAACAAGATGAGCTTTAAGGTCCATTCCAATCTAATCCATTCTGGGATTCTCTAATAGTAAAAAAAAAAGAAATAAAATTCACCTGAGGACCGTTCCAGTCCACAGACATTTCTTCTGCACATACTGAGTTTTTCCTGGTTTGGGCTGTTTTGTTTGCAAGCTTATTTTAAAATCTCTTTTTTTGTTTCTGTGTTGTGCCTTGCTGTGATGTAGACCTATCTTTTGGAGGAAGAAATTGGAAATAGCTTTGAAGAGCTTTTTACTCCTTCATTGCACGCACTTCAGAAATTAAATTTCTAATTTGTCCCCTGCAAGCAGCTACTGAACTTAGTGGTCATCTGTTACGGTTCTTCTGTGATAACTCATTTCCCATTTTCTCCACAGCTGAGTGGTAAAATAATTTAACTTGAATGATTATTGTTATTATGAAAATGCTACTTTATTCTCGAGTTAAATCCAAATACCTCGTTTCCAACGCTTCATTACAGCTGATAAGCTCAATATTGATTGTAACAGAGATGGAATCATAGAATCACTTGGGTTGGAAAAGACCCTTAAGATCATCAACTCCATTGGTTCGTATTTTGTGAGAGGAAAGCTGAGTAAAGTGAAAGCCAAAATCCTCCTTCACATTCTGCTGTTTTACAGGCTGTTTTTCAGCCTTCAAGCATATCCCACTGAGGTTTAATCTCTCACTGTTGGGAAGTTAAACCTGAATTTCAGGCTGAAATAACAAAGAGGAGTTCCATGTTTCAAGGGTTTAGTTTAGTAATGTGCCCAACAATGGAGGATAATAAACATTTTCTTTTGTTTTGGTATTTTGAATAGTTGAACAAGGGAATTGCATTAAAAAAATTAGATAAATGCTAATAAGATCCATTTTGCTTCATATTCCCAATTAAGAATTAGAGATTTTTTTCCCCCCTGCTTATCAGAACGGATTCTATCAATGACATTGAAAATGATTATTTTAATACTTCTTGTCAGCACAGTATTGTAATGACTGTGTACTGCCCCAGGATGCCTTTTTAATGGTTTTAGCCTTCTTGAATTAGCTTGATGTACCATTAATGCATGAGAATTGCTTTTATTTCTGTTCACGGTGTATTCACAACCACACATCTTGCCCTGCTTTATGTTCGGATTTTCCCTGACCCATTTAGCTGTGGGCCATGCAAGTCTCTGACACCACAAAGGAGCAAATGTTCAAATATTTAGAGGATAAAATTTTACTGTCACAGGGTGTGAAACAAAAGGGTTTGAGTCTAACTTGGGTTCAGAGTTGAATATGTCTCTGAAGTTTAGCAGTTCAGCCAAGGAAGTTTTACCTCGTCTAGATGGGTTTTACACCCAGATTTTGATCTAATACTGCCAAAAATAACAATAAACCCGTGAATATTGAGGCAGGAGTTGCAGGTATGTGGTGGCAGAGGCAACTACTGTCTCACAATTTGCACTTTGCTCTGGTGCTCTGCTGCTGCCTGTATTTTTGGATGCTTTCTTTACAAATTAACTAGTCTTTTATTAAGGAATGTGTCCATTCTGTGTAAAAAAATCTACCAGGAGTATTTTATTTCCAGATCCAAATAGTATTTGTTTCCAGATCCAAATAGTATTTCCCGTGTGGTGTTGAACAAAGGTGTCTTGAAAGGAGAACTTCAAAGCACCATTTCTGTGTTAAAGGATGGGAGATGACAAATTAATCCTGCTGCAGCCGCACTGAGGGCAAGGGCTGTCACTTGCCATCACATTATCTAGTCAGCTTTTATAGATGTGTTTTCATTAGGAAATGTTAATCAGCCTAATGGGAAGTAAATAAAAAGAAGTAAATTGGTCCCATCCCGACAGCTGTTTTAGGAAGGTCCGATGTTCATTCTGGCACTGAGGGATTCTCTGATGGTGGGGACCCAGGGCAGGGTAGGATGGGGCAGCGGTTCCTTCGGCTCCGGACTTCCTTGGACTTCCTTGGACTTCCTTGGAATTCCTTGGATTTCCTTGGATTTCCTTGGAGTTGGGCTGAGGCCTCTGGGAACGTGGCGTCTGCAGTGACGAGCTTCAGGATGGCCACACATGGCCTGGATCAGCCTGCTGACTCTTCCACGCTTCACAACCGTTGGGAAAGCAATGTTTTGCCCGGTTAGATATTTGTATCTTCCTGGTTTGTTTGTTTTGGTTTTTTCTAATGAGAAAGTGACATTAGGGAGTCAATTTTCTTTTTCGATATCATGGCTTAGCCTGGACCAACAAATGCTCAAGCCGCGTTCATTTTAATCCCCAGTATATTTTAAGTCGTTTGAGTTTTAAGTTCGTTTTAGGGCGTTTTTTTAAACGTAAAATTAACGTTTTGATTTTATTCATCCACGTTTTGATTTTACTAATCCCCGGGAACAACGGAGCGCGGCGGGAGCGGCCGCCAGGGGGCGCTGGAGCCGCGGCGTGAGGAGCCCGTGATGGCGGCGGCGCCGCGGGGCCCCCGGGGCTTTGTGCCGCCGCGCTGGGACATTCGAACGCTCCGGCCGCCAAAGTCGGCTGGAAAAAATATATATATAAGCGCAAAAATCTGGCCGCCCTCGTCTTGTGAGGTGTTTCTGTTTGTGTTTTGTTCTGAACTTGCTTCAGCTTCACCCTTGCTCATACTTTGCCCGTACACTTACTCTTCCTGCCTGCCTGTAACTGTAATGGGCCATGAATAAATGAGAAGATTTACTTTGGACACAAGCATTTCACTCCACTGTTCTTTGGGGCTTTTTGGTGGCTGTTTTTGTTTGCACAGACGTTTCTTCTGGTTTCCAGGTAATCTTTCAGCCCCTTTCAGCAGATGACAAGTTCTGGTGCCATAAATCAGACTGCACGTTGTTCCAGGAAGGCCCAGCATGGAACTAGCAGGAGGAAATTAACCAATATCCAAAATTTATATAACATAGCCTTGAAAAGGGCTGTGGGAATTGAGCAGTGCGTGGTGAAACAGGTGTGAAGAAGCCTTTATCCTGGGGAGCAGTTGGCATCAGTAGGATTGGGCTGGAAAATGGATCCAGATCCCTGGATTTATATTTTCTGACTGATTACCAAATTTCACGCTTTATACATTACTGTTCAAAATTCTTTTTCTGTTGTCCCTG